TCCGGAGTGACACAAATACCCAGCCTTCTGGAGTAACATGGCTATCACTTGCTCGCTTAGCTCCCTCACTGGAGGGGGAGTACCTGTAGCCGACCCCCGCAACCTGCAGCGCGGCATACTTCCCCCAGGTTGGGTCCAGGTCCACAGCCTGTCCTCTCACCCTCACCATCAGCAGCTTCTCGAAGACGCTTACCAAGACCTGTTTGGTTGACCACGGACACCTCACGGCTCGCCTATTGGACCACAGGCTCCCCTCATTCCCAGGTGGCTGGCACAGCTCAGACCCACTTAAGCTCCGGCACCCGGGCCGAGTTCAGCACTCACGATCCTCCAGCAGAGCAAGACACAGCACGCAGCAACTAGGCCTACCCAGGCTTTAGCCGTCAATCTTCAGCATACCAGCCATACCTGTGGGCACTCACACCCACACACAAAAACTCCTTAAAGAGATGATTGACACCAGTCCATGGCGGATACAAATCCATTGCCATAACTTGTCTAAGCACTTCTGAAGCCATCCATGTGTATACTAAATGACTGCCCTACAGCCACAGTGGATTGGGTATGTATGTGCATGCCCCCTCAGTGTCAATGGGTTACTAAATTAACGAAAAGGAGGAAATAACAGAGGCATTAAGAGCATTCATCATACAGAAAAAGCAGAATAACAGTGCTATAAAGAATATTCACCTGGTAACCAGAGGCTAAATTAAGGAAAATATAACCAATAGCATCTAGGATATGTTGATCAAAGTGATAACAAGTCCAATTGGCAACAAGGATAGTATTCTACACAGTACTTCACATCATTCAATGTGAAATGAAAGCTAATGCTAACACACACCATATCCTTAATCACCCCAGTAAAAAAGCAAGAGCTGACACTATACTTCCCAGACAAGCAAGAATGATGATATAATACAGTATGGTAATCACCAAATTCATTGTAATGAGAAGTTTTGCTCATTTCTTAAATAATTTGCAAAATACTGTCTCTACCATATGCAGTTATGTTCTAAAATCAAAGATTTCTTGATATCTAAATTTTGATGTCACAAAGTTTACAAAACAAAGAAAAATTCTGGGTTTTATTTTCATTTATTTATTTTTTTACTATGCAATGTGGGTTTTACCTTTCTCTTAAGGATCTTTTTCTCATACAGAACCAAATATGTTTCAACCTATTATGGTCATTTCTGACATTTAAGGATTTAGAACATATAATTTACACTACAATATTATTTTTTCAATTTTGTTAAAATAGCCTATATGCTTAAATTTCAAAAAGTAACAGTAATTTATACACTATTGTGCATACTTTAACTTACATTAGGCTACAGTATATGCTGCATATTTTACACATTTTTATTTCATGAATATTACATTTAGTAGAAGAATGCATGCTGACTCATTAAAGAATGTGCTAAAATCATATTCATCTTTCTGTTCCTTTATGGTAGAGGTATGTAGCAAACCAGTAAGCTGAGGGATTTTCTACCTTTGGACATGTTTATCTGTAGATACAAAGTAGGCTTTAAAATGAGAAAATGGATATATGTTCATATATACATACATGCATGAAGGCATACGTATATACGCAAGACATACATATACAGTTTATGGATATATACATATGCATCCATATGCATGCTATGCACACCAACCCTAATAAGAGTATTATCATCCTCTTCCCCAATGCTCTCTTCAATGTTTCATATATATATGCAAAGAGTTCAAAACAGTAACATGTGTGAGTAAGAACTTACATAAATACTTGGTTGGATTCTTAAAAAATTTAGTGAATGATTTCTTGATAATCACATCATATTACTAACTGCAAGGGCTATCTTAAAAACAACAACTTCAGCATAATGTAAGCTTGAGAGTTGTTGAACAAAACATCTTTTCCATAACTTAGCCCTTGATCACTTAAATAAAATAAAACACTGAAAAAATTATCATATAAAACTAATTCAAATAAATAAATAAATTCTTTACAAATCTCCATAAGTTTATATTTTGTGAACTTACCTGTAAATTTTTGCTTCTTTTGGGGAGGTTCAGATGTCGAATCAGCTCCCTCAGAGGCTCCGGATTCTTCTTCCTTTTTCTCTCCTGAAGCCTCTTTTGGCAGAATATACCTATAATAAAATTGATTATTAAGTCTTCTCTCCACACTACACTCAACACATTGCAAAAATTAAAAAAAAAAAAAAAAATGATCAAAATGCAAGAAAAAGAATATTTTGGGAAGAAAAGGTAAAGACATATTTACATTATGAAATTAGATCATGAATGTCTTAGGGCATCTTCTGTATGCACCATGAAAGTTAATGCCCTATTGAAATTTAATCCAGATCTCTAGTGCGCATGAGCAATGGTAGCATCCAAGATCAACTTTTCAACCTATGGACCAGCATTAACTTCTACGTTCAAAACTTAATCCTGCACATATGTAGAACGAGCTAGTTAATCCCACCAATCGTGTTAATACACAATAACGTCAGCAACTTCATGGAAACCATGGAGCTGAGTTGCCACTGATATTTATTATAAGAAATAATGAAACATGTGACATTTTCATGGTAAAGATCAATATGACAATTCATCCATATATATTAAGTTATCTGTCTAGGAAATAAATAGAAGGTAGGAAAGGTTAGGTTTGGGCGTTTGCATTCACATAATATCCTGGTGGCCCCTGATACCCTGTGTCCCCTCCATTAGACAATATAGTGACTTAATCGGGATCGTAATTACAGCAGAGATCGAGAATTCGGTAATTTTCTATATTACGTCCGCATGACCGATATCGACGATTTTGGTATCGTTGGATTCCTCTCACTCTATACAATGCAAATAGATTGGTTTTATTGCGCGCTAACCCCGTTAGCGACAAACTTGGTCATAATTGCAGGGGCGACGATGTCGGAGCGCCGGACGTAATATAGAAAATTACCCTAATAATTTAACCTCACAGTGAAAATAATCATAGTTATTCACATGACTTTCCATTGCAGGGGGCTGCGCCCCCTGCGACCCCCCTGGGGGGCTGCCGCCCCCCAACCCCCGCCAAGGAAACAAAACCTCCACCACGTATTCACGGCAGGATAGAGCGCACACGAACTAGATGCGGAGCCGATAACCTACAATAACCTAGGATTTTTAAGGTACTAACCTGATTTATTAATGCCGCTAATTACTAGGGAGGGTGCTCCTTTGCCGCAAAATGTGAAGGAGGCAGGGTGCTTTGAGATTGCGCAAAGAAAGAGCCCACGAACATCGAAGCAGACCAGTCACACCTCTGCCTCTTCTGCTTCCTGACCGCCACGGCCCTATCACATCTGAATCTTTTCTTCTTCAGGTCTAGGCGTGCTGGCTGCCCGCACCTGCCGCAATCTTTCTCACGACGAAGGAGGCCGTGGCGGAAGCACATATCTAGCTTTTTTCTTGGCTAATGGCAATCTCGCGCAGAAAATCCGTCTCGGAGTACGAGCACCCTCCACACTCGGCCATCGCGGCGACTATGACTGACTTCTGAACGCGACGGTTATTTCGGTTAGGAATACGAATGTCGTTATTCCAGAGGAAGGGAAACTCGACTTTGAGGCATCGGTGTAACATCGAAAAAGGCGCAAAACCCGCCGACGAGGGCGGGCCACCGTGTTTATCCTGATTATACTACAATCGTCTCTATACACAATGCTGACTATAATAATAAAGGTTGAGAATCTTACGAGGTAATACGCCCCCTGCTCCGACATCGACGATGATTGTGTAACGCTCTAGCCTGCCGTGAATACGTGGTGGAGGTTTTGTTTCCTCGGCGGGGGTTGGGGGGCGGTAGCCCCCCCAGGGGGGTTAGCAGGGGGCGCAGCCCCCTGCAATGGAGAATATGTGAATAACCATGGTTATTATGGAAAGTTATGTGAATAACCATGGTTATTATGGAAAGTTATGTGAATAACCATGGTTATTATGGAAAGTTATGTGAATAACCATGGTTATTTTCACTGTGCGTTATATTATTAGTGCTATTTAACCCCGCATTTTCCCTGGAACCTTTCATACCCTCCCCTGCTATCGGGGCCAAGTTTGTCGCTAATAAAAACTATATAATTGCAATGTGGAGAGTGAGAGGAATCCAACGATACCAAAATCGTCGATATCGGTCATGCGGACGTAATATAGAAAATTAACGAGAATTCTATACTGCACACACATGATATCAAGAGTATTTCAAGAAACTATGGTAATTTTCTATATTACGTCCGCATGACCGATATCGACGATTTTGGTATCGTTGGATTCCTCTCACTCTATACAATGCAAATAGATAGGTTTTATTGCGCGCTAACCCCCCGTTAGCGACAAACTTGGTCCCGATTGCGGGGGCGACGATGTCGGAGCGCCGGACGTAATATAGAAAATTACCCTAATAATTTAACCTCACAGTGAAAATAACCATAGTTATTCACATGACTTTCCATTGCAGGGGGCTGCGCCCCCTGCGGCCGCCCCCAACCCCCGCCGAGGAAACAAAACCTCCACCACGTATTCACGGCAGGATAGAGCGCACACGAACTAGATGCGGAGCCGATAACCTACAATAACCTAGGATTTTTAAGGTACTAACCTGATTTATTAATGCCGCTAATTACTAGGGAGGGTGCTCCTTTGCCGCAAAATGTGAAGGAGGCAGGGTGCGTCCGGCAGGAGGTCCTAGGCCGGAGGATACAGCGACGCTGCAGCACACAGGAAGTGATGCAACCTCACATTCAGGTGCTGGCTGCCCGCACCTGCCGCAATCTTTCTCACGACGAAGGAGGCCGTGGCGGAAGCACATATCTAGCATTTTTTCTTGGCTAATGGCAATCTCGCGCAGAAAATCCGTCTCGGAGTACGAGCACCCTCCACACTCGGCCATCGCGGCGACTATGACTGACTTCTGAACGCGACGGTTATTTCGGTTAGGAATACGAATGTCGTTATTCCAGAGGAAGGGAAACTCGACTTTGAGGCCATCGGTGTAACATCGAAAAAGGCGCAAAACCCGCCGACGAGGGCGGGCCACCGTGTTTATCCTGATTATACTACAATCGTCTCTATATACAATGCTGATTATAATAAGGTTAATATGCTGATTCAGTGAGAATCTTACGAGGTAATACGCCCCCTGCTCCGACATCGACGATGATTGTGTAACGCTCTAGCCTGCCGTGAATACGTGGTGGAGGTTTTGTTTCCTCGGCGGGGGTTGGGGGCGGCAGCCCCCCAGGGGGGTCGCAGGGGGCGCAGCCCCCTGCAATGGAAAGTTATGTGAATAACCATGGTTATTATGGAAAGTTATGTGAATAACCATGGTTATTTTCACTGTGCGTTATATTATTAGTGCTATTTAACCCGCATTTTCCCTGGAACCTTTCATGCCCTCCCCTGCTATCGGGACCAAGTTTGTCGCTAACGGGGGGTTAGCGCGCAATAATAACTATATATTTGCAATGTGGAGAGTGAGAGGAATCCAACGATACCAAAATCGTCGATATCGGTCATGCGGACGTAATATAGAAAATTTTACCACTAGAAACTATATATTTATAAAGTAGACGCCTTTTTCCAAATTTACCTAAAAATCAAATACTAAATGTGTCTTGTAATTTGCTGACCCATCAATTTCACGTACAGTTGTATGTACCCTTTAAGTGATGATCGCCATTAGCGGAAAGTTTGTTGAATTCAATACTCACTCTGGTTTTATGTGGGCTTCGCCATCATTTATATCAATGCAACTCATACTGCACATTTTTTTCACGCAGACCAAAGCTGCACGAGGTGTTGTTGAGTGTTGTTTTGATAACGACGAGCGCATTGTATTTTCGTTATTATTATTATAGTGTTTATTAAACTGTCACTTATTATCTTTTCATTTCATCATTATCTGTATGACAATCTTTTCTAAATTGTAATCTCCAACGTCCATTTTTTTCTTAATTCATGTAATATTTCTTAATATGAATATTGGTATACATGCCTACAATAAGAATATACATTGGGCACAGTACATGTATGTATATGTATATGTATATGCATATATATATATATATATATATATATATATATATATATATATATATATTATATGTATGTGTGGTGTGGTGGTGTGTGTGTGTGTGTGTGTGTGTGTGTGTGTGTGTGTGTGTGTGTGTGTGTGTGATAATTATTAATAATATTGATAATAATTTAGGGTTTGCTGTGACAAACTCTTGTAACATCAGTCAAATTGTGGCTTGTCTGTTTATTGCGCTTCCAAATTACCCCCTGTGTGCGAGGAATGGCCGGAGTTACCATTCACTGGTAGTACGCGAGAATCGAACGCAGGAGCCGGATTCTCAAAAGAGCCTTAAGTTAAGGCGCGCTAGAGGCCTCAACCGTCCTGCTGTATTTCCCTTGTAATGAGAGCGAAGAGAGTTGATTTCCCGCCCGCCGCAGAGCAACCTTGCCTAAGGCGCCTTAGCTCGCACCAATATGGCGGGTCCCTTGCTTTGTATATGTGTATGTAAGATCGCTCGGCCGTAAGTTAAGGCGCCTTAACGCGTTTAAGAATCTGGGCCCAGGTCAGCAAGATTGCTAGACGAAAGCGCTACCACGGCGTGTTCTTGCCTAGTTGTTCTTACCTAGATGTTTCAATACGGGAGAAGAGCTAAGCTCAGGTGGTCCCGTCTGCTATATTTAAATTGTCGTATAACTTTTTAAATTGATACACATTTTTGGCACACACTACGTGTGTGCTTCAATAGTTCTATTTGGAAAACTAAATTTTTAGACATCTTTATCACCTCTTTTTACCTTCACCTTTTTGTTGTGTCCTCTCGTCCCTTTTGTGTTCATGATCAAAAAGTCATCTTTATCTATCTTCACTCTTCCTGTAATACAGTTGAACAGCATAATCATGTCCCCCCTTTTCCTTCTTTCTTCCAAAGTAGTAAGTCCTAATTTCTGTCTTTGAACTTTTTCCAGTTTGTCAATATCTTTTTTTAAAGCGTGGACCATATCACTACACCGTACTCAAGGCTTGGTCTTATGATTGCTATAGTGATCTTCTTTACCATATATTCGTCCACATACAGAATGCCCTCTTCATGTTGGCAATCAGTCCTAGCATTTAGTGGACCTTTTCATTTATATGATCATTTGGGTTTACGTTTCTATTTATGATTATCCCAATATCTTTTCCCCTGTCAGCTGTGTTTTATATTGGGTCTCCAAATTTGTGTGTGTGTAAATATACATATATACATATGTAATATATATATTGTATATATATATATCTATATATATATATACATATATATATGTATATATATACATATACATATACATATATATATATAATATATATATTATATATATATATATATATATATATATATATTCTGTTTCACCCCTAACCACACCTAGGAATAGTACTTGTAAATTCCGATGTTAAAATCGACGCAGGTACGGTTTAAGTTGAGCTGCTGCAACTGGCGTTGCACGAAGAACAGACCCGTAGGAAACGCGTACTGCAGCCGCTATCATCCCTGCTAGTGAGGAACGCAACGACTTCTGTGCTTACTCCGAAGGCTCATTCGTGTATTTCTTTTTCATTTGAGTGAAGATTAAGTAGTGATGGTAAGTGGTTAGACCATGTTTAATAAAATTTGGTTTCATGTTAGTAAAATGTTTTGTAGTTCCTGATAATAATCATTATCTTATGTGCAGCTTTGGCATACATTTAATACATCTGGCATTCACACCATATGTGTTTTCTGATGTATTTTCAAGTTGCTTAAAAGTATACCTTATTTGAAGTAGTTGAATATTAGACTCGAAGCAAATGATAAATCAATATGGATTTCCTAACATAACTCGTACCGTATATCCATAAAATAAACAAAAGCACAAAAATTGAAATATGAAATATAAACACATTATTGTGAATGAGAAGCAAATAAGAATGGTATAAGGATATGATACAATGATATGAATCTCTCTCTCTCTCTCTCTCTCTCTCTTTTCCTTCTTTCTTCCAAAGAAAGAAGGAAAAGAGGAAAAAAAGGATATGAATCTCTCTCTCTCTCTCTCTCTCTCTCTTCTCTCTCTCTCTCTCTCTCTTCTCTCTCTCTCCTCTCTCTCTCTCTCTCTCTCTTCTCTCTCTCTCTCTCTCTTATTCAAAATCAACTATACATATTTGTAGCCTAGGCAAACAAAGGGCAAGGAATACCAGCAGGGCTGCTGGAAACTATCTTGGCTTTTTCGTTTTTGTGACAGAAATTGTATTACTAATCTAAACAGAAAAACAACACGTATTTACAGGCACGTCAGCCAATTATTTACTGAGGCTTTAAAAGTTTGCATTGATGTGGTCCGGTCTAGGTGTGTCTGCTGCTCCAAGCGGTTCCACACTTTTGCGTAGTTTGGAAGGAAGGATCGCAAGAAAGTTTCTGTCCTGGCGAAGGGCCAACATCATTTGTGCCCTGGCATCGGCAACGCGAGTTGAGCGGCCGTGCTGTGCTGCCCACGGCTGTCGAGCACGTCTCATCGTTGCTGTAAGGGTTGCAGCGAGGAAGCGGTTGGTCTGGTCGAGCCTTTTGTCGAATCATTTGCTGTGCTCAGTCTTGTACCATATCTAATAGGCTGAGGTACGATCTGGGCAGGAAGGCCATGGGATGGGTAATATTCCATGACTGAACGAACATGAGCTGCATACGATGAGACGTGGTGGGTCTGTGAGCGGAAATGCCATGGGAGGTGAGAGATGCTCCTCACACAGCTTAGTCTCCACGCGGGTTTCTTGGCAACATTACGGAGGTGATTAGTGAAAGTCAGGGTATCACTGACCCACTCCCAGGATGGTGATGGATACCTGGAGTGGCAGTGCTCTCCGCTCCAACAGAACGGTGGGAATAGGTGCGTCATGGGTTTGCTGACGTCGAGATATAACATTAGCTGTGTTTTAACTGGAGTTAAATCGACTTGCCAGCGTTTACCCATGAGACGATGGTTTGAAGAACCTGGTTCATATGTGCGACTGCAGCATGATGATCGTCACTATCACAGGAAAAGATAAAGGTGCAGTCATCAGCATATACATGTGCCTCTGGTAGCAGACGAAGCAGGTCATTAAAAAAAAATATGCGGTATGCCATCAGAACCAAAGCCCTGTTGCTGTTTAAGGGTGCTTCATCAAGACTTGCTGCCACAGACTGGCCACTGAGCTTACTTTTTGTTCTAGTTGCTATCACCGCTGAGTCCATCTCTGAACCTGACTCATAGTTGCGCAGCTTTGTCTGTAGAGTTGCTTGTTGGTTGAGGTTAAGTGTCTCGTGTAGCGCCTCTAGGCACCACTCTTTGTCAGCAACCATTCTGCAATGGTAACAAAACCATGGCTTCTTTGACAGATACGTATGACGAGGAACAGTTATTTTGATGACTCAGACGGGTTTCAGTGAATGCATGAATTTGTTCAGCACATCACCAGTGAGGACAGATGGCCAAGTGTGTGTTGTAGAGCACCACAGAGGCCTTCCCAGTTTGCATGCCCAAAGCTAGTCGTCTCAGTGGATTATCCCTCTCTGGAGAAATGCTAATCTCACTCAAGACGGAAAAGTGGTCTGATGAGCCCACGGCACTGATGGGGCGGCCGTTAAAAGAGTTTCTAGCAGATCACTGATAAGGATTGAGAGAAGAGCCAGAAACGTATGTGGGAAATTCAACATGATTTGATAATCCGAACACTGTCAGAAGCTTTTCAAATGATCTTGCAATGAGGTGTTGGTTCATGTCGCCTACAATAACATATATGGCCACAGAAGCTCATCCAAGTGGGCCTGCAGGAAGTTAATGGGAACTCTTCCTTGCCACAGTAGACGGTAACAGACCCAAAGCAAGATTGAACTTTTGTGCTATGCCCATACCTTAAAGAACGCCATCTCCAGGTGGTCAGGAAGAGGGACATCTATTGATGAGATGGGTAATATCTTGTGGAAGCAGACTGGACACCACCAAAAGCCCCGCGCCTCCTGTCACGTCGATGCCACCTTGTATACCCACATATTTGTCCATAATTGTCAGGAATTAACTCATTTAAGGTTTCTACACATGCAATATCATCAGGCGTATGTGAGTTCACATGGCTGTGAATGAGGTCACCAATGTTAGTCTGAAAACCCCTATTAGCAGATATTATGGCAATGCGGTCATTAGCTACTATTTTTCTTTTTTTAAGGGCCTGAGTTGTCGAAGTAATACAGTCGATAATTTGCTTGCGTTTGGCTGGGGTGATGCAGGAAAGGCTGTGGTGCACTAGCCGTTTGGCCTGGAACTGAGGCCCAGCTGCCACTATGTAGATGAAGAGGCACAAGGGTAAAAACCCGACTGAGTGTCTCAGCAAACAGGGCGTTACTTTTTGCCTGTTTAGTCGAGATTTTATGAAATGACTTGCCTTTCCTTCTCCAAGCGCGTGCGACACTCTTAGACAGTATGCCAGGGAGCAGACGGTAAATACTCTTGTTCTTTCTGAAACAGTTCGTACCCCTTGCGTCTGCACTGCCGGCCGTACTCTCCGACTCGTTGGCGAGGTGGAGGACGGGGTGGAACAGAAATTACCTTGAGGTTTCAGTGACTGGGTGTGTTTCCTGTCCCCAGCACGTTTCTCTGAGTTTCTGTTGTGTCTAAGGGGAACAATTGAAGTACTTGCCTCAGTTATATCTGATGAGGATCTAGCGATTAGGGGCTGAGGTGTGTGGGTAGGGTTGAACGAGGGTTCATTGGGGATGGATTGTAATATGCGAGGTTCCTGAAAGCCACCAAGATGCTGAGCTACTATTAGCAGTGATGTGTCT